ACACCATGAGAAGCCATGCTTGTTTCAACTGCAAGAAGAAACAAGCGTTTACAGCAACAAAAAAAAAAAACACAGAAAGCAAAGTAAACAATGGAAGTTGGATTAAAAAGAACCACAAAATTAAGTAATTATTTGGAAAATGCTATCAGAAATCTCATTTACCTGTCTTGTTACAGAAGAATAATCAAGAAATGCGCTAAGGCATCCCATGCTCTTACTGGGCAGTGATTTAAGCTGATCCACCCGCAAATTATTAAGTAGAAGCTAAAAGTCCCAGGTGAGATGAGAGATGAGATAGGATAGGGCGCTGCAGTTCTTGCTTGAAAAAGTTGATGTCTTAACACTGACAGGATGAACAAGAGACAAGGAGAGCAGCTGCAGCATGACGATGTGACTGGCTCCAGGTAACCCAGATCCGCAGCACAGCTGGGAACAGACGCCTTGTGTCTTTGCCTAAGCCTTTATTCTGCTTCCTCTTCAAATTTATCACTGCTGCTTCTTTCCCACTGAGTCACCGACTGAAGGCGATTAGATAAACTCCTCAGCCACTGAAAAAACTCTGGTACTCAAGTCCCTCCTTGAAGCAACACTTGCATTTTCTGCACTGAAGATCTAAGTAGGTGATACCAACAGATTTCTATCAATTTACTCCAGTACTTCAGCCTTCCCTGCAAGGCCTACAGTCCCAGCCTGCCAGAGTATGCCCCTTGATGATAAACACTTCAGCTGACAAATCTAGTTCGTATACAACATCAGTGGGAACAATGTTTTCATCACACCAAATATGTCATTTGACCCTGTCACTGTACAGAAACCTGTAGGGATCATTAATCAGATTCAGCGCTCTGTAATCTGTGCTCGGAACAGCCTGAATGTCTGTTCGAACAATGTCATTCCTTTAGCAGCAATATTTTAATCAATCAGGTGACAGGCATGGCAATTCCCCCCGAAGTGGCAGGACCAAGAGTGAACCTACTGATAAAATGCAAACAGCTTAGAGCAGGATTTCAGTTGCTTACAGAAACTCTCTGCATTAGTGCCCCTAATGACTAAAAATACAACAGAAATTTTCTTCCACCATTACCCTAAATGGACAGCCAAGACTTAGATCCGTAGCACTGACGGCCCTTTCAGTCCTTCCCTAAATAATGCCAAGAACGAACTTAGGTTAGCAGTAGAGGCCCACATCATGGTAGATGAATGAGTGGAGACGGGCCCTACCACCAACTTACGCGTTTCCTAGTCTTGGCTCTGGTCCAGGCCTGCTTTGTTAACCCTCAGCAAGTTGCTTCAGCCCGGTAAGTAGTATTTTGGTGAACGGGGGATAATTATACAGATCACTGTCCGGGGACTACTTATGTGAGCGCTACACGTGAGCAAAGCTATGGACAAGGCAAATGATTCAACAAAGCAACCAACCAACCAGGAGACTGGCAGAACCACAGGCAGAATCCGGAGGGATATGTTTTCTGACACAAAGCGGTAACCAAGGTAGTTTCATGCAATGTTTTATGTCATCTCTATAGCCTTGGCAATCTTCTTCCCCTCAAAAATAATCCAGTCATGACTGCCCTGCGAGGTGTGGTAGCACAACAGATCTAGCCACGTTCACTGAAGTGGAAGAGCTCACAACAAAGTAGAAGTGAACCTACAGACTTCTCCTCCACTCCCCTTCCTCCAACGAATGAGAACTAACACTTAAGATTTGTAATTCAACGTAGACTATAGTAACTAACCGCAGGTTATTTTCATGAACACATCGATCAATGTGAGCAACAGCGAACACCGCACTTGATGAGGATTCACAAACTAGGAAGGCTACAGACACACAGTTTTAATGAGGTATACAGCGCAACTTTTGATTGGTTGCCATGGTGAAAGCCCCAGCAGCATCCTGCTTGCGCAAGTCGCCTCTCCTGTACTCGGCCGTTACCTAGATCTCATGCTTGTGCCTAACCAAACAGTAACTAAATCCCTCAAGTAACCCTGCTGCTCTCTCAACCTTTATGAAAATCCACGATGGGGCATTAATCTAAATCCCTCCCACCCCTTGTCACCACAGTCAAATGGATGTTGTTTCAAGACCACTGCTTACCTGCACAGGTCACAGTAATCTCACTGGCAGAAACAAGACAAGGTTTAACTGAAACCTTTTTACTGTAACCTCCAGCACTAGTGGCACATACAGCCGTTTACTGCATAAGGACTGACCTCACTGCACATTTTGAAGGCCTGATACAATACAGCTTCACAGCCAAAGACAAATCGGAAATCGTTTTCACCATTTAACTTCACAGCCCCTTTTCTTTACCTAACAATTTAGGATTAGTTGCCTCCGCCCCATCCCCAAGTCTTCTCCCATTTATCATGGGAAAAATTAGGCTGCCTGGTATGCCAAGAACTACTGCTGCAGTACAAGCTCCCACCTCTGGGGATACATGCTCCCTGCAGTACCGTAAGTGTCCTGACGCTCCTCACACCTGCTATCTCCCCAGTCAGCCCAGTTTCAACCTCATACCAGCAGAGGTAAACTGCTTCCTCCAGCCTCAGTGAAAGGGTCTCCCTCAGCATTTGTGCCACGCGTTAGTACCAGACTTGCTCCTTCAGTCTTCACTCACTCTGCACTCAGAGCTCCCCTTGCTTTACACTAACCATTCAGCTACCTTTACGATCCCTGGCCTGGAGAGCATTGCTCACAGGTCTGGCCTGGAGCTGCTTCGCTGCGCTCCCGTGGTTCCAGCCGCCTGGCGACTTGTGCCACGCCTGTGCTTTCTACCAAGAGAACAAACCTCGCACTCAAGCATCAAGCGCAAACCTTTACAGTCAAGGCTTGACTTCCAGATCCCACGGGCCACCTCCACAGCACACCACAAGTCACCGTCTCCTAACTGTGGTTCTGTATTTCTCTGACACTAGCTACATGATATACAGGGGGGAGAAACTGCCAGGTTAGAGCTTTTAGAAGATATTAAGTGCATGTTGCACATCCAGGGACATAGCACGACAACACAAAGCCCTGCATGATGAGGTTGGCAATTAGTACAAGTCTAAAGCAGGTAAATTTAGTGTGGTCCACAGTCAGTGTGCTCAAAGCAGATGCTCCAGCAAGCTACCCTGGTAAACATCAACATATCCCCCTTCCCACAGCTCTTCAAAGCCCGTACATGTCACTGATCGGCAGTGCACCAAGTAGGGAAGGTTCCTTTTCCAGATGTGCACTACCCAGATCCAGGACTGCAAGTCCACATTGCACCTTTACTGGCCCTCGACCCACACCATGCACCTGCACCACACTTTGGTGGATCCGAGTTCCCAGGCATTACTTTCCCCTCTACTCCCTTAACTCACAGGGAATCCACCAGTTGCTACAGTCATTTCAGCACAGGACTGTAAAACCCAGGTTCCTTCTAAACCACATTCTCCTAAACGAAGACAGGCTTTTGTCTAGCTTCCAAGATACGTTCAGATGTTTCCAGCCTATTCCTTCCACTGTATCCCCTGGATATTCCAGTACTTAACCTCATTCCAGCCTAATTACAGCTCCAGCCCATAGCTTAGTTTTAGAAAACAAACTCAAAACTGGAGTGTAGGTATACATTTGCTAAGTTGGGGGGGACAGGGAGCACACTTTTTTGGAGGAGGAAAGAGGGTATTTACTGCACTTTTACCACAGAATTGCACATGCTCCATTTTCAATGAGGCTGCCTAGCAACAATCACCAGGTAGTACATCGAAATTACAGCTGTCCACTACACAGCACCTTTGTCAAGTTCAGGGGCACAACTGTGAGATGAAGTCCTTAACATTAAATGGCTGAGGAATCAAGTCTGAGTGAGAGTTCAATAGATTTTAATCATGTTGTTACAGCCAAACTCAGCACTCCTAGCAAAAAAAAAAAAAAAGGCCACCTCCTCATCTGTCCCACATCTGCTTTGTTAGCTTCTCCAGAAAACTCGTACAAGTATCCAAGACCATGGTTATTCTGAGGCTGCTACAGCTATAGCCCCAAGCCTCGCTGCCATTTATAGTCACGCTGATGTGTACCACACTAGATTCACCTGCTTCCAGAGTTGCACGTAGATGAGACTACTTGGGCTACAGATCTCGTAAACCAGGAGAGTGACGCTTCACAAATGAGTAGACTGTGCAGTTCAACTTTTTTATTTTAATAAAATCAAGAATATGCACAGCACATGCAGTGCTAGCATCTAAACTAATACAATAAGCAATTCTAAACCTACAGTGACTTGAAGTTCAATTTTCACATTCAGCAAGTTTAAATCCATTCTTGCATATTGTTTTGAATCCTTGTCTCTGAACTGAAAATATTGCTGGCTGATAAAACTTGCTAAAATGCACAAGTCACTGATTATGCCAATACAACAAAGATAACCACATGTTTGAGGATTGCAATGTGCCAGACATTCACTGAAAAAAAAACAACACACAACTAAACAAAACTCACGCAACAAACATCTGAGAATCTGGACACTTCACATCAGTGTTTAGAAGTGTTTCATTAATATCTTAAGACAAGTGTATCAAAACCTTGGCATGTTTAATTTTAAGTTGCCAATTTTTGTTTTACTATCAGAAAGTTATGGCTACACTGCCAATGCCGGGTCTGCTTAATTTGACTTAAGAGTTTAATATGACTTAAACATTAAAAGCTCACACTACCCCGAAATATATAATTTCACGCATACGGTGACATTCAACATTCAAGTGCCAGTGTTTTTGTACTGTCTTTTGGTCAAGTTTCTTTAAACTTTCAAAGAATCACTTTTAGGCTTACAAAAATAAATATTTGTCAAAAATGTTCAATAAATATTACACAAAACTAGCAGCAAAAAGTATCTAGAAATCTGTCGTGTGCAAATAGTTTTCTTCCCAGCTATCATTCCCATGGTCCCAAATAAGTTTTAGAATCTATTTCCTTCTCCTTAAACAAGCTGCGTTCAATCTCCAAGAGACAAAATAAGATTGGAAGTTAAGGACACGCACACAAGACATATATAAAATTCTCTGAATGTGCAATAAAAGAAGTATTTTGTAAAAAGTTATGGGCAAAATGTACAAGGGCCTAAACCTAGACTTGAAATAGCACCATAACAAATGACCTCAATACTGTCAAGTGCACCTACTTAATAAAAGTTTTAGAACAAGGCACAATACACTTGAAAAAATCTATTGCACTTTAGGAGATTTTTGCCATTTTCCTATGCCACTGTAGATTTGTTGTTAACTGCTCTGGCCACAAAGTTAGCACAGAAATTCCAAGTGGCAGAGGCATTTTTCTGGTGGACAATACTTATCTTTGGCCAGATTTAGCATAAACAGACTATAAATACAATGGAAACCTATGCAACTAAAACTGACTAAAACTGCACTGTAATAGCAGAATTGAAACCTTGTGCAGTTTATGTACATTTCCAACCTCTGTGATCTCAGGTTTGTTTGTTACTCTTCTGGAGCCATTTTACAAAGTCTACAGTAAGCCAGTTTAACATCTCCACGCAGCTTGAACAGAGTAATGTGAATCTGCATTAAAATAAAGCCTGCTGCATAATTCTTCCTGTTCATACCCTCTTGACCAAAAAACATCAACACTAGCATGCGTTATTAGACCAAAAATTCAGTCAGGCCCTTAAGGAGGACCAATCACTGCCATGGTCAGCCATTCTACCATTTCAATTTCATATGGCAGGCATTTTTAAAAAGTCTAAATAGATGAATTCTCCTAAAAACTATTTCAAGTTATCAGACCTTTAAACGTTCCCTGTAATGTTCTGCCCACATTTGGCTAGCTCACATTAATGATCTGCCTAAATATTGAAAAAGGAATTGCTGTATTTACTTGCATTAACTTCAAAAACAGTGCTTTTAATGTATGCATGTATCCATACATCATCTCATCATGACTGGAATGGCTTATTAAAGGCTATCAGGTTCTAAGTACCTATCCAGGATAGAGTGAGCAAATCAGAACTTTAACTTAGTACAGTTTTGCCACATTAGAAACTAATTGCATTGATATGCTTCAAGATGTTTTATTTTTCAAATCTGCAAATACCAAAAGCCCTAATGCAGGCTACCGCATAAGTTTTTCTTTGTAATATTATGGATGAATCAGTGATTCCTGTTTAAGTTGTATCACACCTGTGTGCCAAGGTTTGATTTTAGCCCAAGTTCAGTAATTTTTATTTTGTCAAAACAATTGATATCTTGAGCATTACTGAGCCAACAGGACATCAAAATAAAAGTTGTCTAAAGTTAAAGGCACAGTACATTAACAAACAAATGATCCTCAGTCACAAAATTATAAATGCAGTTTCTGGGTGGGGATGGGTGGGAGGGGAGTTAATCCTGACTACAGCAATAGAGTCTTCAAAACCACCTTCAAGATAGGGCTACTTGTTCCTTTGTTTCCATCTTGTGACCTTGAGCTCCCTTAAAAAAAATTTCAGTGGAGAATCACAGCTGGTAATGTACTGCGAGTTCTTGAAGCTACACAAGGTATAGTCTGGCTAAGTTACATGTGGTTTCCATATTAGCTTGTTTGGTAGGAGATCTGCTGCAAGCAGATTCAGTTGCCCCACCAGTCAACCCCCTGGGAGTTATAGTTTCCTCCATATCCATCACTGTTGTAGAAGCCTCCATAACCACCACCTAAGAAAGGCAAGAGAAAGCGATGCTTAATTAACCTGCTAAAGACTTGTGCCTCTACAACAAGAAAATAGCCCAGGGCACAGACAAGAGGTCTGTGCTCTATTAAAGGAAACCCACCCAAAAGTACTGTCAAAGGCACACACTAAACTAAAGTGCTGAAGAGATAAGCAGCATCAAACCAAAGGCAGGTTACTTGCACTAGCCTAGATCCCAGGAAGATGCTGAGACTTTGTATACAAGCACCAGCTGACCTTGCATTTTAATGTTACCTCCAGAAGTTTTACTATAGCAAGCATTTTAGATCTGGTTTTCTATTTGCCAGCACTACCTACCCCATTTTTCTTACCTCCAAATCCTCTGCTGCCACTTCCTCCACTGCGGCTGCTGGTTGATCGACTGCTGCTAAAGCTACTGCTGCCAGAACCACTACTTGTTCGATAGTCTCTGGCACCAAATCCTCCACTGAACCTACTGCTGTATAAAGGAAGAAAACAAAGTGAAGTCAGTGGTATTTTAAGCACTGCAGCCATTGAGATTCAAGTACTAAATGTCTTCAGCTCTGGTTACCAACTACAGCCAGTACAAGTGTGGAGTTCAGCATGCTTCGTAAGCATCACAATGCTACCTGGAAAGGGCATTTGAGACAGCGAAGGACAATTTACTATTCAAGCAGGGTCATGTTGAACTTCCCGCATTATACCGAGAATTACTTTCTCGGGTCCTGGTAAGATTTGATTCAGTGCAACCTCTGCTCCACAGAATTTCCAAACCTATCTTAGTGTTAAATAGCACATTTATGACCACCTTCCCTACTGTAGAAGAGGATGTCCATTTTACAAGCATACTTCTGAAGAAAAATAAAGAACTAAAATTCACATGGTCATATCATGTTAAGTACATGAAGAGGAAGGGTTGTTTCTCCTCCCAGCCCTTTGCACCAGGAAGAAGAGCTTTGTATTACCAGTTTATAAAGCATTTTAGGTTTCCATAGAAAAACCATTTTACAAGTGGCCTCACCCCTGCAGTCTAACTCTCATACCTTTTCTGTTTTGTGTCAGGAGACACACATCACCTTCTCCTAAACATCAAGATAGCTGCTTAAGGTACATCTCTGGCATGTGCAGGTATGTATTTCTAGTTCGTGTTCTATAAATAGTTTCAGAATTCTACAGCCATTTTTGCTAATGCCGTTCTACTTCAGCCATATCCTAGTTGTCATGTTCAAGAAGAGAAAAATCTTACAGGTTAAATACCTTACAGTAAGATAAAACACCACCAGACATTAAGCTGTCACCTGCTGATACACCTAACACAGTTTATACTGCACTGTTTTGTCTTCCTCTAACTGTATCTTTAGAGTGAAAACAAGTCGCAGCACTGCCTCCCACAATGGATGAAATACACCTTTAGCCAAAGCTGTGACCATTACCTCTTGGACCGCCCACGGCTGCCACCTCCTTTGTGATGCTGTTCGTAAGCCATGTTTTCCAGCCAAGATGGTACTTCTTGCTTAGCCTCAACAAGAAGATCAAGCAAGTCCTTGGTGATGTTTATGTTCCTCTCATTGAAGAATGAGGTGGCAAGTCCTAAAGTTAAAAAAAAAAAAATCATCAATTTTAGCCCCACATAAAGCAAATACACTACAAGCACTTAACCCTATTCCACACTCCACTTGTGGTTGTGCAAAGTACAAGATCAGATTCCTTATAGCCGAGGCTTGAGAACACCAGAATTACCTGAAGAGAAAGTCATTTGAGACCATTATTCCACCACAGCTAGTCACAAAACCCCTGGATACTTACTGACATAGAAGATACCAAGCTTACATGTGGTAGAGGAGCAAAAACAGTGGCAGCTAAAGGAACTGGTTACTTTCCACACTGGCTAGACAGCAGTAACCATCTTGTCACAGAAGTCCATGCACAGGCTTCTCTCAGGTACTTAGCTGCAATTTGCTACTTAGTCAATACTACTACACCTATCAACTCAGGTATGAAGTCCTGTCTATGAAAGTTCTAGATCATACTTACCAAGGTTTCCTACTCGGCCTGTACGACCAATACGATGTACATACTCTTCAATGTCACTTGGCAAGTCAAAGTTTATGACATGCTTTACATTTGAGATATCCAGTCCTCTTGCTGCAACCTAGTGATTAAAGGATTCAATCAAATCTTAGTAAAATTCCACAGGCCAAAATGCTTACTAGCTCAAACTTCCTAGATTGATTCACTTACTGCTGTGGCAACAAGAATTGGGCTCTTGCCCGAACGGAATTGGTGCAGTGCTTCCTCTCTGTCTCTTTGGGAGCGATCTCCATGTATACTTGTGCAGGCATATCCTTCATGGTACAAGAAGTCCTCAAGAGCATCCGCACCCTTTTTAGTTTCCACAAACACCAGAGTCAAAGAATCCTTGCCTAACAGTAATTAAAATACAGGTTAGCAGAAAAGCTGCACAAATGCTTGGCTCCACCACCTCGTAAAAGGCAGTTTCACAGTTCTCTACTCTTGTTTATTCTAAACTGAAGACACTGGAGACCTCCCTCCCCATTTTATATAATACCAGAAAAGCTTACATCAACTTAAAACTGACATTTAGTCAGCAGAATGTATTCACAGCATGTTAAGTAAATTCATTCACCTACTCAACAGAAGTTCTTGAGTCATTAGGTTTGCCTCACCTGAATTTTGCTTTATCTGTTTATCTGAAAGTGGTCTTTACCTGTGGCATTTAGCAGGTCAAGCAGAAACGACCGTTTGTCTGACTCTTCCACCCATACTACTTTCTGAGTGATATTCTCAGACGTAGAGCCTACTCTGCCAACAGCCAGGAAGATATATTCATCAAGGAAGTCACGAGCAAGCATCTAAAAAAAAGAAGAGGGGAATAAAAAAAATAAAAATAGTGGTTCCCCCCCCTTCCACAGATGTAATTTAGGCTTATGAACTGTTAATATATTTGAACTTTTGTAAAGTACCTGGATTTCCTTGGGGAAAGTAGCACTGAACATCATGGTATGACGAACCCCCTTTGGTGGCATAGTATCCTGTTCAACAATTCGACGAATTTGAGGTTCAAAGCCCATATCAAGCATTCTGTCAGCTTCATCAAGCACCAGGTACCTAAACAGTAATAAAAAAAGATTATTCTTCAGAGCTTTTTCTTTAAGCTGCAACCCAGCACAGATACTAGGCTACAAGTTCTCCACTAGACATTTACAGTTTGAAAGCTAAAACTTGAGTGTCATTAACTCTAAATCTCACCTTAAAAAGTTTCTAGTTGTCAAGTCATTAGCATATGGACAAAAGCACTTTACTTACTTGCAGAAATCCAGTCCAATCTTTCCCCGCTCCATCATATCAACCAGTCGTCCTGGAGTTGCTACAAGCAAGTGACATCCACGTTCTAAGTCACGTATCTGCTGACCAATGTCTGCACCACCGTACACAACACAGGGACGAACTCTGGAACGGTATGCAAACTATAAAACAAAGTAAGTTAGCTCTAAGAAAAGACTACACCTAAGCTATTTTATAACGGTGGACTCCTAGATATACCTTTCTGGCTTCCTCATAGATCTGCACAGCCAGTTCTCTAGTGGGAGCCAAGACCAGTGAGATTGGATATTGCTTACGGCGCCCATACCTTCCGTTCTCCTGAAAAAAAAAAAACCCCAAAACTCAGAATGAGTACCCCAAATACAAGCGGAACTAAAACAACTACTACAGGCAATATTGAAGACAGATAACAAAGTTTGTCTTAAAGAAAAAGCATGGCTGAGAGCTAACTTGTTTTAAGCACTGAGTCTGAAGACTCTGCCCTACTACAGTACCCAGGATTCAGCTATTGGTTAACATGCTAAACAGCAACATAGCGGCCCAAGCTTGGTCTCTACAACCTGCACAGTGATCCATAACTTAAGCAGCAGAGAAATAATAGCCATAAAACCTGTTACTTCCCATCATAAAGTCAATACAACACAGACGTGTGACCAAGTAGCTTTTTTGTAGCAAGGAAAGCAAAGCTCATCAACAATCTTTTCTCTAGACAGTTATGCATATCAACTGTTTAGATAAGGAAAAAAAAAAAGTGTTCTACAGCCTGTATTTTTCAAGGGAAATAGCTGAAGTCTTCTAGAAGTTGAGAAGCTTGCCTATCATACCCAAAATAATGATGACATTTAGGCCCAGCTATCATGTTCAGTAGCAGACATCAGCATATGGGGCAAATACACACATTGGTCATAGCTTTTCCAGGACTAGGTATTTAAATACTTGCCTTCATAGCTCTCAAGGCATCACCGGGGCCATCTGCATAGATCTGGCTCAATATTGGTAGAAGAAATGCAGCTGTTTTCCCAGACCCTATTAGGACACAATTCAGTATTAACAACAGTTATTTTCGAAGCTACTGTACTGTCAACTACAGCACTAATCCTGTATCACTAGCATATTCCCAGTAACATCTGCACTAGTATACAGATACTACCCATGCCACTGGAGCGCACTCCTTAGCCAGTAGAGGTTATCTACAAAAGACTTGCTGCTCAGCACCAAACCCTGAAGTCAACGTGATTTAAGTCACGAACATTTCTGTCGGGACAAACGCAGTAAATCCAGTCAAGCCACATCTAAAGCAGCTGCGAGACCGCAAAACTAATTCATTTTCAACACTGCAGGTATTGCAGTATACTCTTCACAGGAAGTTGTATCACCTTACGGACCTCTGACCTGCAGCTTGAGGAATACAAGACCCTACTCCTATACTGAGAAAATAAGCAGTAAAGGGTTACTAACTTACCTGTCTGAGCACAGGCCATCAAGTCTCTCTTTTCTTTAATAATAGGTATTGCATGTTTCTGCACTGGAGTAGGACGGGTGTAGCGTGTGAGCTCAATGTTTCCCATAATAATTTCTCCCATGTCAACATCACTGAACTGCAAGATATTTATTTAAAACAAGTAAGATGGGGATCCTTCCCTTCAGCCACCATGGAACACATCATTCAGTCTAAGTAGTCATATGTAAAGAACCTTGTTTCATCTATTCCTATAGAACTTGCCTATTAAGTTTACAGATACTCAGGAGCTAGTTACCCAGACTCTGGTATCTACTTCATCTGGTCACGCAAGTGATTCTTAAAAAGCCAGCCAAGCCTGAAGTGCAGACTACACTATGCTTCACATGACACAATGCCTATGCTTAAGTAGTTGCTCCAATAAACCAGCACCTCCAAGCGCTTCTACTTCTTTACATGTTTACTGCTTAAAGACAAGTCTTAATTAAAAGTGAGCTACAAGTGTTAACTGAACAAGCTTACATAACTTCTCCCATGCCTTAGTTCATTATATGCAGCCCTCCTCTGTAAAACAACTTAGCTGTAGGATGGCAAGACAGCACTTCCTCTCCTCCCTTGATGTCGTGCTGCCTTCAGTTTAAGTTTCACATGCAAAACAGTCACTATTAGCTACATCAGCAAAACAGATTAAAAAACCTTACACTTTCAATATGTGGAGGACAGTTGCTGCCTGTTGCTTCAACAGGAATGTCATCGTATTTCTCAAAGTTAATGCCAGTATTGCTTCCTGAAAAGAGCTCTCTAAAAACGGAAAAGTAGTATGTTACTTGCTAGACATATCAACTGACCCCATCATGTGAATTTATATTACTCCATTACTTACTGTTCCAGGCGTTCACTTGGGGGAAGAGGCTTTGACCAGTCATCTTCATCTGATTTGTCAGACCAGCGGCTATTCCCACCACGGTCAAATCTACCAAAGCCACTCCTATCATAGTCGCCACCTCTTCCACGCTCTTCATATCTAAATACAGCAAGAATATCAGGCCACCATTCCTGGGCAACGGGATTTTTTTTGACATGCAAAACTGAAGCTGTAATAATCTAGCAGCATATGCTCTGTATATTACATATACATCTGTAGAACAACTCAAAGTCATTGGATTATCTGTACTTGCTTCTTGACCTACGAACTGGAATGAGTTTAGTCCCAGCCATCACACTAGGTCATGTTATTCTGTGTCAGACCCAAGAATTTGTCATAATTTCACAACTTAGTTTAGCTTAACACACTAAACCTTAGATCAAAATTTTGATTCTTTACATTTATTACACTTAACCAAGTAAGTCATCTGCCAGTAGAGCTGCAATTCTAGTTGCTCAGTCTTTGCCTTTTTTGTAGGGAGCTCTGCTTAGACCTCTCAGGAGACATTCTTTGGTACTCCCCCCTCTCTCTGTGCCTCATTTTACATAGGTCTCATGTCCAGACAATACCCTCAAGTGCTGTAATTTGTTCCTTTATTCCCCCCCACACACGTGACCAAACGAAATACCTCGATTACATGTCACATTATTATTTCATAAAGAGGGAGCTCACCTGTATTACTAACTTGGAAAGAAGGTGGAAAAAGTCCTTACCTCAACTGTTTAGTTTTTGGTCTGGTAAATCATGTTTGAGCAAAGTCTGGATACAGGACTAGCGTCAGCTTTACTAGTCGATAAAGGTCACTCTCACCACACTTGTGCATACAACGCATGATGTGTGTAAGACTGATCAAGTAAGGTAGAGAACCTGCAAGAGTCTCACCCAGTTTTATTAACTACACTTTTTAAACAAAGAAAAAAATACTGACATGAAAAAAATCCGTTTTGATGTTTATGTGCTCTCAACAGCTCTTCGTGATTTCTTCTGGAAGTAACCACCCACCTAGCACTTTTTTGGTCAAATGGTTACATCAGCAAGTCATCGCTGCAGTGAGTGGCTGGTGGTAGACTACAGGCCATGTTTTTCAACACATGCAAGTTTCCCATCCTCAAACTCATGTAGCTTTAAAAGAAAGGTTCTCTCCCCTCCCAGGTTCCTTCTACCTTATCCTGTTGTTCACACCTGGAATTCTAACTTTTAACATCAAGATTACAGGTACACTACTAGAACAGACAGACTTCATATGCACAGACAAATAAATACTTGCCTTCCTCCTCTTGATCCATTTCCACGGTCAAAGAAGCTTGATTTTGCTCCGCGGTCGGACCGTGCACCAAAGCTGCTGTACGCATCCTTGTCTCTGCTAGAACTCCAGCCACCACTATCAAAACCTAGTAGAGAAAGGTATTTTAGCCATACATTACATGGTCTAGGCTTTTGTAAGAAAAAAAAACTAAGTTCTGTCCAGTAAGTCTTCACCGGAAGGTGCACAGGATTGAAAAGCAGGCAGTCTTTCAAGAACAGAAGATGCACAGATTTTAAGACTTACTCAAATATGGACTAAGAATTTCTCATTGCCTATCAGAACCTGCTGAAACCCCTCCACTCATGTACAAGCATGTTACTTTGTAAAGCACTGAACCTGCCTTTGTGCTAAATATTTAATTTGCCTACTCTGGAAAGCTGGAGCCTTAATGTTTCTTCTGATACCCAAGTCTTGCCAAGCCTACATTACCTCTCCAACTTCAACACAAATCCTTGATGATGCTTTTAATCTCTGAGGTTATCAAGGCCTCTGGTGGAGACCAATAAATGGTATTAGCCCTTGCAGTAGAATCCATACAGCAGTTAGAATGTTTTGTCGTACTGCAAGTACACAGAGCAATCTGATCTACACAGCCTAAGACAAATCAGCAGCACCATGTAGAAGTAAGCAATATGGAGTTCTTCACAATGCGTTACCACACTGATTTTTTCCACAGCGCTTTTACACCTCCCTACAGCAGATGCCTACTTCAGTATGTTAACTCAGAGAACAAGGACCAAGTAGAATAAGAAAATACATCAGCTTGCCACCACCATGAAGTAAAAATCCTCATTTTCATTCAGCTACCAGGGGTGGGAAAGCAGGCAGAAGCGTAGAGCAGTGCTTTGGTACTACACAGTGCTTCTGTAGTAGACCAAGTACTTACAAATTCTGATTTGAGTTCCAACCTTCGCAAGTTTGAAAACATGACCCAAACAAAGCCTCAGCTATGGGATTCTGGCAGAGGATAAGTGAAATAATAGGAGTGACCTTATACGTTTATCTGTCTAATTAATAAGGATGCTTTTGCCAGCTCCACAGCAAAAAAAAGTCAAGACCTATGCACCAGACAATAAAAGCAACCATGAAATAAAATTACTTTAAAGGAAGGGGTTGTTCCAGGCCCTACCTCTCCAAAAAAGCTTTGCTATAACAATTACCCTACCTTGCTAGACGTTCTCTGAAGTGTTATTTCCCCCCCACCTTTTAAAAGGAATTCTACTCCCCAGAATCTACATGTGTGCTAGTCACAAGGCAACTTTAAAAACTAGTGTGACCACTGTAACTCATTTGGTCTGGTTAACTGCAGCAGACAGCAAAAGTGATCCATGCATAAAGTTTATTAGCACACAAGATCATGGAATGCTTCAAGACCTCCAAAGTAACTTTAGTCCTCAGAGTTAAGTTAACTTCACACAGAGAGATTACTGACAGAAGATCAGGAATACAATCATCATTTCATTAACGCATGATAAAGTTATTTGTAGGTTGTTTAAGAGGCATCTAAATCCAAGTTTTAGTGTGAGTAACTTTCAAACCACATTAAAATATTGGGGTATGTCATCCTGCCAAGAGATCCAACAGCAGTGGTACTGAGAGCAATCTTCAGGAAGATATAGATGTAGTTTCTCATTAAGAAAGAAACTTGGCTGACTCTGTACTACATTAAGATCTTCTAACCAAATCTGAAAAGTTCCAGAAAGGAGTCAAAATTTTATACTCCAGAAAGCATACAAAGTAAGCTTACTTATCTAGCTTGTTACTACATTAGTTTCTGAAGCTGGTACCTTGCCATATTTTTCTTTTGGGCTAGATGTTGCTGCACTACCTTAGACTTTAACAAATGCATATATATACAACCTGCTTGACAACTAGGGCCATTAACTCTGCTTTCAGTTTGGTATTCCCAGTTTGATTTTACAGAGTTCCAGGCCATACAAGTAAATTCTAAGTAACCAGTAACATAAGAAATCATCATTATTTAGAACAACACATGGGAAATCAAAAGCAAATGCACTGAGACAACCCGTAACAGACCATAAACTGATTTCTCTAAAGCGAAGACAATGATCACCAGACCATACAAGAATTGGGAGGAAATTCCTTAAAACATTTTTTTTTATTAAAGTAAAAACCTGTATAGATTCCATCCAGCACGTATTTCTCACCAAAGGGGTAAGTTTGGAGTTCTGCAAGTTAATGACCTTTCAGAGCAATTTTGAGGTTCTAACACCTGAACAGTGGTAGAATTGTCAACACTTCTCCTCAGTCAACATTTTAATCCACATTTTGTAATGCTCTAACATCAATCATAGTCAGTGTACTTGAAAAGCTGCCACATACAGCAGCAATAATCAGTTTTTAAAGACAGGAAAAATAGTTGGAATCACAGAATCCGTTAAGTTGGAGAAGACCCTAAAGATAAGTTAACATCTACTCCTTGAACTACTATAGATCAGCTTGGACTTTAAATACCCCATAGCAGCCTCTGAGAAGTTTAACAAGAAAGTGACATGACAACAAGCCTCAGTGTCATCAATTCAAGCAAGACACTTTAGACCAGGCAGCCCTGCATAGGGAGCTCCATACACTGTCACTTCAACAGCTGAGAAACAGGACTGCCATTAAGTAACCAAAGGACAGATTTTTAGGCATGTTATTTCCTGCAGTTTCACACTGTCTTATTCCCATGTACAAAGCTAAGAGATTAGTACTAAAATAGGGACAGATCAGCAGGTGTATGGAAAGAATAAGCTGAAGAAAGCACTGTAGGAGTTTTAAACAGAACTACTGTAGACCCCTTAGTGCACTTCCCCTATTGAAATCATAGAGATGCTCATCTCTTCATGAACACAAAGAACAGCATATTTGAAGTATTAAATCCACTGCCTTAAGCAATTTCTTACTTAGCTGCAAGTAAGCCCATTGCGCAACTTTAATAGCGTCTATGAATTACTATATGGTCATCAGCTACAGAGAAAAGTGAGAACCCCGAGCTAGAAACTATACACTGTTTCTAGAACACGTCTAAGGGAACTAGCACAGGAGAAACAAGTAATTCTTTTTCTTTTTTCAAGTTTTTGAATTCAGTAGTAGTTAATTAACACTCTCACAGAAGTCCTTAAGGTCATGGGATGTGAGCAAGACAATTCTACTGGATTACTGAAATACAGTTCTACCAAGTAGTTTAACTCATTTTTTACATCAATAAAAATTTTATCAGGCTATTACACTTGTATGGCTCCATCAAGAGTTTTGTTACATGGTCAAGTACCACTATTATCCAAGGTCTCTCTTGCCTGTTGCTTACTAATGCCTACACCTTGAAAAATTTTTTGCTAAAGATTCCAACAAGCAGCCAATATACAAAACAGCTTCAACACAGCCAGAAAAGCAATATTTAATTTAGTTGTAAACAGAAGAAAACATTACTTTATGAAAGTACAACTGTGTAACATACTTCAATCATCCTATAAAATAGCTCTGCTTTACATCTCTGTACTGATGATACCCGCTTTGCTTCTCAGTAGTGGGGCCTAAACTGGAATTGCAGCTTTTCCATTTAGGCATCATGAACCTTGTCACAGGGAGTCACGAGAAGTCTGGTGATATAGTACCCAAACAGGTTTAAAGAAAGTTTTGAACTGTTAGGTTTAACACAGAAAGTTGGTAGCCTATGTTCTATCCATTGAAGAAGCCATGGGTCAAACTTGAATCCCATGCATTACTTGTTTTACCTTTTCGGAAGGCAGAAGCTCAAAGGCCCCAGAAAAGCCACATATGATCACATGTATACTGCAATGTTTGAACTCTG